CTTGTCTTACCCCTTCTTCCCCCCTCTTTCCTGTTTCCATTTCTCTGTCTTCTTCCTCTTTCTCTCATTCCGTTATCCCTCCCCCTCCCCTTTTCTTACTTCTCTCCATCTCCCATTCCTTTCCCCCTTCCTACTTGTCTCCCTCTTGCGTCCCTCATTCCCTTATCCTTTCTCTTTTTTCCTGCTTCTCTCGTCTCTCTCTTTCTCTTTTTCCTCTCCCACTCTTTCCCTCTTTCCGTCCCATCCCCATCTTTCTCCACGCCTCCTCCTCCCTCCCCTCTCTTCTTTCCCCACTCCTCCTCCTCTTTCCATCCCTCTTTCATACTCGTCCCCTTCCCTCTTTCCCTCTCCTTCCTCCTCCCCTTCTTTCCTCATTCCTCCCCCTCCCTCCCTTCCCTCCTTTCCCCCCTCTTTCCCCACTCTCTCCCTCTCTTTCCCCACTCCTTCGCCTCCCACCTTCCATCCCCTCCCTTTCCCCTCCCCTCCCCCTCTTTCCCTACTCATTCCCCTTCCTCTCCTCCCATTCCTTCCCCACTCCCCCTTCCTTCCCCTCCATTTGCATTGCTCCCTACTCCTACCTCTCCGTCCTTTCCTCCCTCCTCCTCTTTCCCCACTCCTCCCCTCTCCCACTCCTACCTCTCCGTCCTTCCCTCTCTCCTCCTTTTTCCCCACTCCCTTCCCTTCTCTCCCCACTCCCTTCCCTTCTCTCCCCACTCCTCCCCTCTCCCACTCCTCCCCTCTCCCACTCCTACCTCTCTGTCCTTCCCTCCCTCCTCCTCTTTCCCCACTCCCTACCCTTCTTTCCCCACTCCTCCCCTCTCCCACTCCTACCTCCGTCCTTCCCTCCCTTCCTCCACTTTCCCCACTCCTACCCCTCCCTCCCTCTCTCCCTCCTCACCTTCTCTTTCCCCACTCCTGCCCCTCCCTCCGTCCCCTCCTCCTCCGTCCCCACCCCATGCCCCTCCCTCCCTCCCCTCCTCCTTTTTCCCCCACTCTTACCCCCTCCCCCCTTTCTCCACTCCTTCCCGTCCACCCACGAGCAGAGGACAAAGCGAAACACTACTTACGAATTTTGGGCGTAAAGAGGCAAGTAGAACGATTGTTTGTTTACCATTAGCGCCTCTGCCAGTCACTCCGAGGGCTGTTGGGGGGGGGGGGATGGGTAGGGGTAGGGAGGGGAGGCGTGAGATAGGGTAAAGGGGGCGGGGCAGAGGTGTTTTTATTCTGCAGTTTTCCTGGGCATTGCAAGTTTATATATTTGACTGTCGAGGAGGAGTGACGTCTGTCGAGATTCTCTTTTAGCAACACCTAGTCATTCTCTCTGGCTCTCTCTTTCCCCTTTTCTCTCTCGTTCTGTCTTTTAATTTGTTTTTCTCTCTCGCTCTGTCTTTTAATTTGTTTTTCTCTCTCGCTCTGTCTTTTAATTTCTCTTTCTCTCTCTTTTAATCTCTCTCTCTCTCTCTCTCTCTCTCTCTCTCTCTCTCTCTCTCTCTCTCTCTCTCTCTCTCTCTCTCTCTCTCTCTCTCTCTCTCTCTCTCTCTCTCTCTCTCTCTCTCCACGAAATGTTACGTGCGGCAGAGATAATCTCATTCCGAAATTATAAATGTCAAACTGTCTTTGTTTCTCTTGATATTATGGCATCATCACGTGGACAAATTTTGAAACATCAGTCAGCAAAAGATTTTTTTTATTATTTTTGATGACCTCTAATTATTTTACTTTCATATTATTTGTTTGTGCTTTGAAGATGGTGAATGTGGAGCAAAGTTGGATATATCATTATACGGTCCTCTTTTATCTGTCTGTCTTCTTTCTCTCTGTCTGTCTGTCTCTCTCTCTCTCTCTCTCTCTCTCTCTCTCTCTCTCTCTCTCTCTCTCTCTCTCTCTCTCTCTCTCTCTCTCTCTCTCTCTCTCTCTCTCTCTCTCGTTCTCTCTCTCTCTCTCTCTCTCTCTCTCTCTCTCTCTCTCTCTCTCTCTCTCTCTCTCTCTCTCTCTCTCTCTCTCTCTCTCTCTCTCTCTCACTATAATACACAATTCTACATAAAGCTAGAACGCGATATCCTTCTGTTTTGATTTTGCTAGTTTTTTTCCCCCCGATAACAACAACAACAACAAATAAACAGAAGTAACAAAAAAACAGAGTCACAGCATCACCTTTTATTTCATTTTCCCGCTTCGGAGATACGGATGTTGCAGAGTTGCAGTGTTGTAGAGTTGGCAGATCCCCCCCTTCCATTATTCCTTCAGGCAGTTTGTTTTGGAGGCGACGAATACACACAAACACGGCGAGTCATCTGCGCGGCGTCGGACACACGGGCTGTAAACAAGGCTCCTCGCCTGATGAGGAAGATCTGAAGCTGCATGCGGGATTTTTGCGTCTGGGTTTTGCTTTTATGTATATGTATATATGTGTGTGTGTGTGTGTGTGTATATTTATGTATACATATATATATTTTTTTCTTTTTTCCTTTTTTTTCCTTTTCCTTCCTTGTTTATTCTTTTTTTTTTGTTTCTATTTGAAGTTTTTGCGTGTGTACGTTTATTCAGTTGGGTTAAATATCGTGTATCTCTCTCTCTCTCTCTCTCTCTCTCTCTCTCTCTCTCTGTCTCTCTCCCTCCTCTCCTCCCTCCTCTCCCTCCCTCTCTCCTCTGTCTCTCTCCCTCCCTCCCTCCCCTCCCTCCCTCCTCCTCCCTCTCCCCCTCTCCCCTCCCCCTCCCTTTCCCTCTCCCTCCCTCCCCCTTCCCCTCCCTCCTTCACTCTCACTCCCTCCCTCTCCCCCTCTCCCTCCCCTATTCCCCCTCCTCCTCCCTCCTTCACTCTCACTCCCTCCCTCCCCCCTCCCCCCCTCCCCCCTCCCTCCTTTCCTCTACACTATATGTTACTTTTTCATTTTCCCTTTAAGGGTGTATCACACGACTAAGGCAGTTGGCGGCCATGCATTATAAATTGCAACGCACCACCGCATTAAATTTGTGTGTGTGTGTGGGGGGGGGGGGATCGAGTGATAACGCGTAAAGGAGTGATTAATTAAGCAGAGAGGAAGGGGGTGATGGTGGGAGGAGCGAGGTGAGGGAGTTGGGGGTGGGGGTATTGGAGGTGAAGGCGGGGGAGTTAAAGTTAGGGGGTGGGTGTGGGCCGGGGTGTTGGAGGTATGGGCGGGGGGAGTTGGGGGTGAGGGTGGGGGTGTTGGGGTGTGGGCGGGGGGGGGAGTTCGAGTTGGGGTGAGGGTGGGGGAGTTGGGGGTGAGGGCGGGGGCGTTGGGGTGTGGGCGGGGGGAGTTGGTGGTGTGGGCGGGGGGGGGGGGGGAATTCGAGTTGGGGTGTGAGCAGGGAGAGTTGGGAGTGAGGGTGGGGTCGTTAGAGTTGGAGGCGAAGGTAGGGGTGTTGGGGAGTTGGAGATGAAGGTAAGGGAATTAGGGGGGGGGAGATGAGTTGGATTTCTGCGGTGGGGGGAGAGGGGGGGAGGGAGGGAAGCCTAAGTGTAAAAAAAAAATAGATATGACTACGATAACCACTTAATCAGCGTTGGCTATTAAGATGGCAAGACGACTGTACTTTTCGTTGGCGCGATTGAGACAAAGGTACAGAGGTAAAAAAAAGGAAAAAAAAAAGAAAGAAAGAAAAAAAAAAAACAGATGGTAGCATGTAGGTCGTTCTCTGTACTACGATCTACTGCGTGAAAAGGAGAGGAGCGTAAGTGAACGCTGACGGTAGCAACACACGTGTATACTTATCGCATGTACAAAGGAGGGAGGGAAAGGGAGGAGGAGAGGGAAAGGGAGAAGGAGAAAGAAAGTGGGAGAGGGAAAGAGAAAAGCAGAGGGAAAGAGAAAGGGGGAATGAAGGGAGGGAGAAGGAGAAGGAGAAGGAGAGAGACAAGGAGGGGGAAGGAGGGAGGAAGGACAGACAGACAAACAAATAAACAAACAGACACACACACACACACACACACACACACACACACACACACACACACACACACACACACACACACACACACACACACACACACACAGAGACAAACGAGTAAAGAGAATAAAAGAGGGAGAAGAGAAGAAAGGAAGAGCAAGTGGGAAAAAAAGAGAGAATAAGTTCGGTTTGCTGGCCTGGGAGCTCCTTGGTGACCAGGTGTACTTAAAATTCCTTGACGCTGATAAACACCTGCGACCTCGGCACAATAAGAGGAATAAGGATATCAGATTACCATATGCACGTGCGTGTGATATGAAGTGAGTGTGGATGCACAAAATATTTAAGTATTTTTCTGACGGTATACAGCACACGTACGCGCACACGTACACACACACACGCGCGCGCACACACACACACACACGCGCGCGCACACACACACACATACACACACACACACACACACACATACACACACATACACACACACACACACACACACACACACACACACACACACACACACACACACACACACACACGCGCGCGCACACACACACACACACACACACACACACACACACACACACACACACACACACACACACACACACACACACACACACACACACTCTCACTCACTCACTCACTCACTCACACTCTCACACTCACACACACTCACACACTCACTCACTCACTCACTCACACAAATTGGTTTATGTACACTTCATTTGGGAATTAGTATATGATAGCATTGGAATTTCGCACATGTGCATAGAGTTGACACAAAGGACCCGAAAAAATTCCTCTTCGAGATGCTCTTCACTTCTGACGGATCCGCGATTTGCTCATGACGCGAAGCCGCCGCCGGTCGCACTTTCGGGTTCTCGGGGCCCGCGATCGCGCCGTCAGATATTTACTTTTAGTTGAATCATTAAATTCAGCCAAGCGACGAGCGAACAGTTAAGAATGCGGCTCGTAGCGGGGCAAAAGAGTGAGCAGGGCCGTGGCAGCGTCCCAAAATTGCTGAAGCAGTGTCGAAAATACCGGAGCCCACGAACGCCGCGCAGAAGGACTGTTCGCGCACGAGTCCGACGGTCCGTTTTCTTTATCTTGTTCTTTTGTCGGTGTGGCTTCCCTGGGCAGGCAGGCCATCCTCTTCGCCAGTGTGTGGACTCTCCGCTCGTGTTCTGTGCTGGCGCCAACCTGCTGTGCCCCTCTCAGGTGTTGCGTTGCCAAAGACCTGCAGGTAGTGTCCGTGGATATCTGGACAAGCGCCTCCGCCGCAGCCTCGAGCGTACGTGAGCAGCGGCGGGTACGTGGCCGCTTTAACGCCGTAAGGATCTATTGCAAGATGCGCGGCGAAGGATGTATCGCAGGGATGTTGCAGGGATGTTATAGCCTCGAGGCTTCCCTTCCGGCACTGCCAGTGATTAGTGTTGCGGTGCAAAAGATGTGCAAGTGTGCGCGTGGAGCTCCGTTTTGCCCATGTGGTTTTCAGTGCTTTCACGAGTGAGGAAAGTGTGATGGAATCATATCATAGGCAACAGCTCCTTACAAGAAAAAGGAAAGAAAATCATAAGCTGTTCGTGAGATGAATGTTTCCCTGTGCAGAGCAAGGCCAAAAGATTTCATCCGTGGGAATGTGATGATATTTAGGAAAGATATCCTCCAGCGAGGACGAGGCGCGACCTGTCAAAAGATGTCAGAGCCTCATGGGCAGCACATGACAGCTGTGCCATACGTGTGCCAGACTCTGGGCTCTATGGATAGGGTACACAGTGTAATGTGGCTGTGGGCATTACCCGCGGCGACCGTGTTTTGTGAGGCGAAGGTAGACGAGACATTGTGGGAAGTGTAAGCCTGAAGACATTCTGATTACGTTTAACTTCGCTCACCATAAGTTAAACAATGATTTTTTTCCCCTAGTTGATTATATGTCGATTTGTTAAACTCTTACTCTCTTTGATATTGTGAGCTTCCTGTAATTGCTTTTGCTTGCAACTGTCAGTATTTGACAGTCACACGCGCCTTTTTCATTTTCTTTTTCTAAATCTCTGTCATTTGCCATCATAATTTCAAGCTACAGTCACGTATCCCACTATCTCTCCTCTGCCTAGTGAAGTAAGGAGTAAATAAATTATAGGTTAAACATGCAAGAAAGTTATTATTCCTCGTAAATTAGTCCTTAAACACCCGTGGAAATATGATCCTTAATTCAAAGTGTTGGTGAATTAGTCCATACAATTAATACATCCGCACACACGAGTACTACACAGACGTATTCACATTAGTACCCGAGCCCGCGTATGCATACATAGACACACAATGACATACTGTGTATATATGTGTGTGTGTGTGTGTGTGTGTGTGTGTGTGTGTGTGTGTGTGTGTGTGTGTGTGTGTGTGTGTGTGTGTGTGTGTGTGTACGTGTGTGTGTGTATGTGTGTGTGTGTGTGTGTGTGTGTGTGTGTGTGTATGTGTGTGTGTGTGTGTGTGTGTGTGTGTGTGTGTGTGTGTGTGTGTGTGTGTGTGTGCGCGTGTGTGTGTGTATGTGTGTGTGTATGTGTGTGTGTGTATGTGTGTGTGTGTGTGTGTGTGTGTGTGTGTGTGTGTGTGTGTGTGTGTGTGTGTGTGTGCGCGTGCGTGTATATAGGCATACATATATATACATATATGTATATATATATATTATATATTGTATATGTTATATATATATATATTATATATATATTATATATTGTATATGTTATATATATATATATATTATATATATATTATATATTAGATATGTATTATATATATATATATATATATATATATATAATATATATATATATATATATATAAATATATATAATATATATAAATATATATAATATATATAATATATATAATATATATATATATATATATATATATATATATATATATATATATATATATATATATATATATATATATATATATATATATATATATATATATATATTATGTATATATATATTATATATATATATATATATATTATGTATATATATATTATATATTATATATATATATATATATATATATATATATATTATATATATATGTATATATATATTTATATATATATATATATATATATATATATATATATATATATATATATATATATATGTATATATATATATGTATGTATGTATGTATATATATAAATATAAACACACACGTGTGTGTGTATGTCTGTGTGTGCCCGTATACATATAAATGTAATATACACATTTTGTACATACATACAAGGTGCCCCACTTCAGATATTTAGATAGGTTATAGAATATGTGATTCTGATATGAAAATATGCTATGTACATATAATTTGTTTAGTTTATTTTTGGTGGGAGTTGAATTTAAAAAGATCTAGTAATTTTAGCGGAACAAAATGTGTTGACGCTTAGCTGCTATCAGATAAGCTTGTCAGTTCGTTTTCTTGTCAATTACCGCAATACTCTCCAATTATAGCCCTTAATGACTAATTATATTATATCTACTGACTGAGTAAAGTCCGTTTAAAGATGGTCCAGTGTAATATAACTGCATAAATAATCATACTTTCAGTTTTAACCACATCTTTGTCTGTTTTTTTCCTCTTCCTGCTATGACTCGGCCTCCTCTTTTGAAAATCGCCTCACGCTGAAAGTAATGTTCACGTGCAGAGAAGAGTCTATATTCAGGATGACGTATTCTTTTTCATCTATAGATAAATGTAACTATATATAGGCTACCTGCTTACACACACACACACACACACACACACACACACACACACACACACACACACACACACACACACACACACATATATATATAATACTTTTTCTCACCTCAGAAATCAAATCTGATCCCTATGATACTAATTATGAGAACCGATTCATTTAGCCACAAAGGTCAGGAAGGTCAAAGCTAAAAGAAAAAAAATATATAAAAAAGCCACGCCCCCCAAAATAGGAAAAAAGGGGGGGAAACACCAAATCAGAAAATCAAGTTTCCTGTGTTGTGATTATCGACCCCGAGTGCTTACCACCTGACCTCTCCTGACCCGGCGCTGACCTCCCGAACCTCGTCGCTACAGCCGCCACCACCTCCTCCTTCGTCGACGCCTCTTCCTCCTCCTCCTCCACCTCCTCCTCGCCAGGATGTACCGGCAGGTGAAGCTCCCGAAACCGAAGCCTCCCGCCGACTTCGCCGACTGCTTCGACGTCGACACGCCGCAGCCGACCTTCGGGGACAACGTGGCCTCCTGGTTCAACGACGCCGTGCACCACGCCCGCCTCAAGCACCACGCGCGGAAA